ACTTTTCTGTTTCATGAACTGAGAGGTTTTTCTTTTTCTCTGTAGAAGAAACAAAAAAAGTGGGTTTCCTTTGCTCAGCTTAAAGGGGACATAGTATGCAAAACCAAGTGTTTAATCATTTGATCGTGTATATTTGGGACTTTGGAGCAGGCAAAGTGTGAAAAAAAAACTGAGGTGTTCTGCTTTAAAATCAAAAGGAAGTTTTTCTTTTTCTTTTTCTCTGTAGAAGAAACAGAAAAGTTGGTTTCTTCTGCTCAGCTTAAAGGGGACATAGTATGCAAAACCAAGTTTTTAATCATGTGATTATGTACATTTGGGACTGTGGAGCAGGCAAAGTGTGAAAAAAAAACTGAGATGTTCTGCTTTAAAATCAAAAGGAAGTTTTTCTTTTTCTCTGTAGAAGAAACAGAAAAGTGGGTTTCTTCTGCTCAGCTTAAAGGGGACATAGTATGCAAAACCAAGTTTTTAATCATTTGATTGTGTACATTTGGGACTGTGGAGGTGTAAAAAAAAAAAGACTTTTCTGTTTCATGAACTGAGATGTTCTGCTTTAAAATCAAAAGGAACCACCTCCAAAAACCATCAGTTCAGCTTCCTGCTGAAAGAGGAGGTTTTTTTTTTCTTTTTCTCTGTTTTGGCACATTTTTTGCTAAACAATACATACCTGATAACAGCCAGTAGAAGACTACACCAAAATATATTTTTGACTTATTGCACGATAATTTGATCAAAATATTTTCAGTTTTTTTTTCTTCATATGTTGTTGAGGGGCCAAAGAAAGACTTCAGACTAAAAAAAATCCAATATTCTTGACCAGAGCTTGTCACAGACATTACATTAGGACACCAGGGAACTAGCTTAACTTGTTGAAATAGGGTATAATATGTCTCCTTTAAATCATCCATTCTTACCCAACAAGTGGGGAAACGGCTGCATCGTGTCGCGGTTAAAATCTCCACAGAAGAAGAAAAAAACTAAACAGGAAGAGGAGAGGTTTCCAGTCTGGGTTCTTTACCTCCTCCAGCTCCTTCTGGGTCTCCTCCTCCATCCGCCTGATGTCCTCCATGGTCAAACCCACCCATTTGTCGATCCAGCAGAAGAGCTGGCGGTGGAAGTTGGTGAAAATACGCTTTTCTTGCTGTGGAGAGAGATCGAGATTAGAAAAAACCTGTTGCCTGGAAACAGAACGATAGGGATCCTCAGAGCTCAGATAAATGTATATTTTAGTTACTCAAATCTCTGCGCTGTGTTGCTTCCTTGTATATTTGTTTGTTTTTGATGTAGTTTATGCACCTTTTCCTCCTTTTGAACTCTAACCGATGTGTGACCAGTGAATTTCTCCACTGTGAGATCAATAAAGCTCTTATCTTAAAGAGGACTTAACTGGGGAGCTAAAGCAGGGGTGGGCAACCTAAATTGTTGGAAGAGCCATATTGGACCAAAAAAACAAATAAAAAAAATGTCTGGAGCCACAAGAAATTAACCCTGTAATGCCAAGTGTATCATATTTGATACATACGTTTTCTGAAATGTTTTGCATCTGACACCTTTTGCATAATTTCATGGTAAAAGCTTTGCTCAAAATCCTATTGTACACAGTCAAATATACCTGATAACAGGGGGCAGAAGACTACACAAAAAATAATCCTGACTTATCACATAGTAATAAATTATTAATAAAATTTAATTTTTGTTTTTTCTTTTTACATATTTTGTTAAAAGGCCAAATAAGGAATTAAAAAAAAAAAAA